AAATAAATTAAAACTCAATTATAGTTGTTTTGGAAGAAAAATGTAATCATGTATTCAGTATTTCTATAACATTTTTGATAATTGTATTATAATACTTGTACAAAGTATTCACTAACATATATTGTTTAGAAACAATTCTATCTACTTAACGTTTTTACTATGGATCCCAAAATAGTAAGGTCCCTACAATACCAATTGTTGACTGAACAAAGTTTGAGAATGGCCTAAAAAATATATAAGTTTAATTATGACATACTGCATGCTAATATTAAAGGAAATATACCATGAATACTTCATCTTTGTCTTTTATAGCAACCATATAATTTCTGTTAACATATTATTTTAATTTATTTATTACATTTATGAAAATACTAAAGAGTACCTGTCTGGTGTTCCGTGTCCAGCTTTTTCTGTCTATATTATCTCTGTTTGTTTTGCACATTTCATTGTCTATCTCTTACCCAGGTAGCAATTTTTTGTTTAAAAATATTATTATAACATTATACTAATATTATTCGTAGTTATATATATTAACATTATAATATTATCATTACAAAATGCTACTAGGGTACTTTGCGTCTAAAAATTCTTTCATCAGAATGATTTTCTAAAACATTTCTGGTGTTTCGATCTAAAGCTCTTTGGTGAGTACCTCTTAAGTCAATGTCTCTCTCTCTTGCATTCCAAACTTGTTCATGACCAGTGGCGTTGTCAACGGTAATGTCTTAAATAGAGGGGTGGGTGGTAGCCGGTGAGTCCCCTAGTATAAATTTAATATGATATACTCAATAGGTAGTCGATAATGATCTGAAATATAGTTAGTTATATCATATTAATACATTATTATGTATTAATACTTTCGACATTAATTGTAACTTGCCTCTGGAAAATGTTCAGTTCACCACTCTACTGTGCATGACGGATGTTTGGCAATGATTCCGATGTATATGTTTTTTCTCTCTGGCACGTTTGCAACATGCCAACATAGCACACATTCATTAGAACATTCAGAACCATCTTGTTTTGTTAGATTTATTATTAAAGATTATAATTTAAAAGTTTAATGTTAGGGACATTATCTTCTGTTTTGTATGTTAATTTTTTTACGATATTTTAATTTTTATGCAAATTATTATGAATGTAAAATATTACAATTTGAAAATGCTCATCATATATCTACCTCAGAAATATTGAAATATCCTGAAAAAAAAACTAACTTATAAACACAGTCTATAGATGATGTTCTCTACTTAATGTTTGATAATAGACCAATTTACTACAATACGAAAGGTTAAAACTAACAACTAATAACAAAAGATTGATTTAGCTGAGTGAGAGGGACCAAGTTACTGCAGAGACTCATTCCGTATATTATTATTTACTAGTTTACTATTTAGTATAAAGTTCTAAAAACTGTGAAATTATCAAAATATTTATACTATTATTAAGCTATTTATACCATAAACCTATTTGAATTTTATACCAGTATATTGTCTGGGCTTATTTCATTTTATTTACATCATATTAATATTAATTTCTTTAAGTACCTGCTTAAAACTATAAGTTTATGAAATGTGTTTATTATCTTAGGATGAGCTGATGGATTTGAGTGAATACAGATTAGTTAATGGTTCTATGGTATATATATTATGAATTATGATCCATCTCATACAATAATATAACTGATCAAAAAGTACTTACAAGTTATTACAGATTATGTTTAAGTTTTAAAATATAATTTTAGTTTTTATAAAAGTCAACTTAATAAATACTTAATTTATTGTATTATAGATGTACGTTTCATTGCTTGCAATTTTTTTACCGGCAATGAATAATATTAAAACTGTCATTAAAATTTTTTATATCTATACCAACCTAAACAAAAAAATATTATTTATTCATACATTTATCTCAAATTTTCAACTTCAATTCCGCAATTCCGCAGTTACTGTTAATCCTAAATTCCAAAATATCTTTGGTTTCTAAATCCTCTTATAAAAAACGCCAAACCGAAATAATCTGGCAACAAACGCATTATTAGCCTAATTTGTTTATATTTGGATCAAATTAAATTGGGAATGCCACAAAAGTAAATTACACACAGTTATTTCTTATATTCGTTAAATGAAAATGTAACATACATTATATTTATATAATATACTTGTAGTTTTCAATCGTCTATAGACTATTAGCACAACATTTTCAAACTTTCAATAAAAACTATCAATAAGTCATACAGATGACACAAATTTAATACACATAATATACACTTTTTTTTACCAATCATATCTTAACCAAACATAACCCACAAGAATAAGCGTACAATTTATTATTTTCGATTTCACACATTATGACCATTTAAACATGGTATGTACTACCAATAAACAATTAAGGTTTTAATATATTCTTACTTGTAAATAAATACAAAATACAACATGAAAATATAAATAATACAAATTATTTATTCATTAACTTTTTGTCAAGAGCAATTTTAAAGTACTAAACAATAATAACATTACAGCTAATAATAAGAGAAAATATTTTATTTATTTTCCAAAAAGAAAATGATGTATTAATTAGTAAGAAAAAATAAAATACAATGAATCACATAATGAATAAAACTTTTTTTATAATATTTGATTTTTAACAAAAATAAAAATCAATGTAATTTTAAAATTTGAACACAATTTCTTTTATATAAATAAAAAAAATAAATGAATAAATATTTCATATCATTATGTCAAATAATTTTTCAAAGTTAGGTTACAATATTACAATATGTATATTTTTGTGATATACATAAAACATATTATATAGCAGGGATGGGCAACCCAATGCTACTAGGGGGCCAATTTTGAGTGGGAAATTTTCAAAAATGAAAATCTAGGGGGCCAGAGAACATAGAAAGCAAAACAATAACTTTATGGTAATTATACCACTATACCTAAATAGTATAATATTATTTACTTTAATAGTTCAATAATAAGAATTTATATCTGCATTTTACGATAAACATATCGATTTTAATAATTTTATAAACCGTCAATCGAGGTGACTTGGAACGATTTTGACATATTTCTTGTTATTCTGAGCTTAAAAAAAATCGCACTGGACTACAAAAAATACATAAATGTTTGCATACGTCTCATGAATAGGATAAGACCTTTAATTTAGTTTTTTGACCAAAACTGAGCTTAAAAAAAAGTAAAAAGTACGTGTTCCAAGTCACCTCAATTTTTGGGTGACTTGGAACAGCTATGAAAATTTAATGTGAAATTCAATTCAAGAACGTTAGAGGTGACTTGGAACAACATTTTTATTTTAAAAATTAACACAAGAACATGTTAAATAAATATTAAAAAGAAACAGGTTAACTTTACCTTTTTTTAACGGTTAACTCAATATTTAAATAATAAAATATCAATAACATGATAAAAACAAAATAAAAATTCTTTCTAAATAGAAAAACATAACTAAATAGTTCTTCAAAATAAACACAAATACATTTTAAATATCATGGAGGGCCTGTTAAAGTGTTTCGTCACTGTCATTTATATATGTCCGGCTACCCGGTATACTCTCGTATTTGTTTGGCATTTTTGGTGTTCCAAGTCACCCTCAATTTTCTTCTGTAAAATAAAACTTAAGTTATAAAATTAGAAAAAAATGTTTAAGGACTTTTAACTACAAAAGTCTGCTTTTGAAGTGTCCTTTAATGTATAAAAAATATACAAATCTTTAAATTTGACTTCAATCACCAACATTTGAAGCACTTTTGAGAGCAATGATAAAATCGTTGTTATCATAAGAAATGTTTGGTTATTTTTTTCGGTGGTAATGATAAGACCAACCACATGGTTGATAATAACATTTATTATCACAAATATTGTAAATTTAATTTAAATGCAGGCAGATTTAAATTATATCATTTTGTTTCATAGATAACCTGATATGTTTAAAAAAAAACCGGGGTGTTTCATTTCACCTCAAAGTTCCAAGTCACCTCGATTGACGGAATATAATAAAATAAAATATAGAAAAATCTTAACATTTTATATTTTTATAAACTAAATTGAAATGTAGCACGGGCCAGTGAAAAATGGTACGCGGGCCGCTAGTTGCCCATCATCCCTGCTATATAAGAAAACTTCAGAAAATACACAATAAATAGTATAGTATAATTTCCATAGTCATTTTGTCTTGGAATGGTTATAAACATATTACAATAACATACTTATACAAGATATACTAAAATCATTAAATTATTTTTCTAGAAGCTTATATAATTACAAAAAATTGTTTGTCTAATATGATTCTAATTTCTTAGCAATACTATTTGTTTAAAATCTGTTTATAGTGAAGAACAAAAGTATAGTCTATGAATTAACATAAAATACACTTGAATACAATTTATAATAAACATTAAAATTCAAAATAAATAATAATAATTCAAATAAACTATGATTTAAGTTTTCACTATATACATAATATAATTGGACTTAAACTAATATATTGGAACATAATTTTCTAGTTACTTGGATACATACTGGATTTATACATTATTTATGAGACATATGTTTGTTGTACAATATATATATTTTTTTTTATAAATAAAAGAGTGTGGAAAATCAATAATAAATAATAAGAAAACAGTCATAAATATTTTATGGTCACAATGGAAATCGAGAGTTTTTAGCTTGGTAAATTATTTTCTTCAATTAACAGCAAAAATTTGTATATACAGATTTTATATCATCCAATATTATTTTATACCAATTGTAATAAAAAAAAATTAAGATATAATAACTGAAATGGTTATAAAATTACCAAAACATTAGTTCAAGAAGTTATTATTAAACATGCTTAATATAATTTAAAAAAATGCTTTTTAGTTTCCAAAAACAAAAATTCACAAATCTAAAAATTATAACGGCTTTAGTGCATAATGGAGAATCTTGTGGCAATAATAACTGTTAGTTGAAATGGTAAAAACTTACAAACTATTCATGTATTTTTACATGAACATCATAGCTGTATTTTCGCATAAATAGTTTTCCACACTTGTCACAGCTATATGATTTTTTACTGTAACTGTGCAACAACATGTGTAGATCAAGATTACTTTTGCTCATAAACGACTTCTTACACAGTGAACAGGTGAATGGCTTATCCCCGGTATAAGGCACATTCATCTCATGTGTTTTTTTGTGGACAACAAGATATGAATTTAATTTAAAAGTTCGTCCACAAACATCACATGAATGCAGTGTCCCCTTTTCATGTCCTGATATATGTTCCTTCATTAGTAACTTATTTTGTAATTTTTTTGAGCAAATGTGACATGTGTATAATTTTCGAGGCCTGAAATTTGGTTTTTTGTGATCTGCTATGTGTCTGACAATTTGAGTTCGAAGTTTAAACACTTTGTGACAAAGTGAACAAATAAAATGATTATCTGCTCCACAGTGTATGGATATATGTTTTTCTAGTTGAGTGGCTTGTTCAAATGTTTTATTACATATGACACAATGATGTACTTTATGTTCAGTATGCATTCGCATGTGTTGTTTTAATTGTAAAGGTGTTTTAACTTTATACAGGCAAAGCTGACAAACCATCCATTTGGATTGACCATTTGACTGTCGAGTATCTGTATCTTCTGGGGTAACTTCATCACAATTAGGAAAACTAGAGTCTTTGCACTGGTTGTTAGGTGTTTCAGAGCATGAAGAAGAAGAAGAAGAACTGGTACAAGAACAACTTGATTCGCAATCAGAATCGGATGACGGAGAAGAAGAAGAAGACGAAGAAGAAGAAGAACCAGAGTTATTTAAGTCATCAGCAGTCACATTGTCCATCATAACACCGAGAACATTTAAAATAATTTAACTAATAATATAAAAAACTGAAAACATTTATTAAATATTTTTCCCTAGCTAATTTTATTTTAAATAAAATTGATGTTACATATTATATAATATACTGTGTGTCCGCCAAAACTGGGTACACTCTATAACTCAGTTATCTACATTACTCAGCACCCTAAACATATTTAAAAAGTTGAATGTGGGGGAGATTGATGATCCAATAGACTAGTTACATGTCCTGCATTAGAATTCAAAAATATATTTATAGGACAGTGGTTCTCAATCTTTTTAGAGCCGTGATCAAAATTTATCTCCAAAATCTTTCAATTTGGACCACATTGTTTATTTACAAGATTAAAAATTAGTTCTAAAACAAAATTTGATTACTATTTTTATAACCTATAATTTTATTAATTTATAAATTATAATAAACATAATATTGGTATATAATGAATATATTTCTTAGAGTATATTATATAAATTATAAATTCAAAAAACTTCTCGTCGGCCACCAAGAATTGACTTATTGACCCACCAGTGGTCTGTGATTCACAATTTTAAAAACACTGATAGATGTATTGAGTAATATGGGTTTTTAAATTATACAGTGTACCCTATTTTCGAGGACAAAGCATAATATATTATAGTAATTTTAGAATTTAAAAAAATAATGAGAATTAAATATAGTTTCTATAGCAATCACCATACTTAATAAAATATTAAATTTGGATGACTGTATAAACCTATGTATAAAAAAATATAGTATATAGAAAAAAAAATGGTGGCTATTACGCTATTTGCCAGAATTTAAGGTATACCGACATCTCTCTAGTTACTAATAAGTCTTATGTTACAATCTATACATAACTCTTTTAAGGTAATTTCTCATTGGATTTTATGTAAAAAATGTACTCTTCCTATTTAATAAAGCCCTTAAGGTAGCACTAAACATATCTAGGCTAGTAGTTAAATTTGAAATGAACAACAGTTCCTTTGAAAATTCTTAGTAGATAGAATAGGTGCTATAGTTGTTTTAGAACGTAAAGTTTAATTAACTTCAACAACTTTATTGGTATGCTTATATAGATTTGCTTTTTAGTTATTGTATTATAAAATTATATCGAAGTCAAAAAAAAAATAATACCTGTTGGTATATAAATATAACTCTCCAAGTATTATAGGAAATTATTAAAAAAAAATACATGGTATCAATTAATGAAATAACTTACAATTCCTACTGTTGTTTAAGATACTTGAGATTTGTTTAAACAATGATAAATGCGAGTATAGTGAGTATATAATTAGTAATAACTATAAGTCTGTAAACATCAATACAATATTTTATACATACAAATAAAGATACTAAGTAGTTAGGTACTAGGTATTTTAGAAAAGGGTTCAGTGGAATGATAAGGGGATGATTTCAGTTCTACAGCATAATCATGAATTACAATTTAACAAACATTTACCCAACATATTTATGGATATAAGTAGCTTATAACTAGGTAAATACAAGGTTATTGTAAGTATCTATAAAATATTTAATATTTAATTAAATTCACTTACTCCAAAGCTCAAATGTATATCGGTGTAAGTAAACAGTATTACGTAAACGCACGGTTTACATTAATTATGTATAAATAGGTAACTTGTCCATGACGCAGAGTAAATCCTTGTACCTTGTACTTTTGACTGTTATTGAGAATTTCATATTTATGGAAACTGCGTGATTAACTTGTTTTTTTTATTGATTACGTAAAACACTTCTAAGCATGTAAGTTAATACTATGTTAATACATGTTAATACCAAAACCTTATTGTCACACAAATATTAACTGTGTTTATATTGCACCTAGTCATAAGTTCTTAGCCATAAGTAAAAATAAGGAACATTATGTAGCGTACGACGAATTTCACTATAATCAATGTAAACATGCTAGAAGTTTCCTTTTATGTCCCGAGATCCAATCCCTCCATCCTCGGAATCTACGACCAATATGCGAAGTACAACTACTGCAAGACCCTAAAGAGGTACCAACTACCTGTGATATACGACATGTAAGACTGCAAGCTACCATTTTTCACAAACTAAGTTACCGAAATAAATGGTTATATGCAACCGATAGCGAAATTATTATAATAAACTGCGAAAACAACCAAGAAGCAAGCACTTACCTATTAGAAGGGGTAGGAATCATTTCTATCAACGAAACTTGTAAGGGATACGCAACCAGGGATTTGTTATTACCGAGCACAAATTCCGAGAACAGTTATGCAGATTTTATACCAACGTCAATTATCACACCACAAGAATTTCAACACGTATCACTCGACCTCTACACTATGAAAGACGAGAATGTAATTAACAATCACATGAGCGATCTAAATTTAATTTCCAAAACACATATGCAACTACAAGAACATAACAATAACATATACAAAGTAACACAGCTACAAAATAATCAAATTATACATACCTAACTATATATTGTATTTGACAATTTTTGTGATTTTTGTAATATCAATTGCATTCTTACAAATCAAAAGCAATGAACAACGAAGTCTTATTGTAGAACAAAGGGAAATGGTGCAAATAAGGCAGAGCACGGGGACAATACATTGTGAAGAACCGGCAACATCAGAAACAACGGCTCCTCCTATCACAGAAGAAGCACAAACAGCACACGCATACACTATCTACCCAACCCTCAAGACATGCTATTGATTGGAACCTACGGCTCCAATTTTACAGGGGAGGCATGTAGTAAACCGTATTACGTAAACGCACGGTTTACTTTAATTATGTATAAATAGGTAACTTGTCCATGACGCAGAGTAAATCCTTGTACCTTGTACTTTTGACTGTTATTGCGAATTTCATATTTATGGAAACTGCGTGATTAACTTGTTTTTTTATTGATTACGTAAAACACTTCTAAGCATGTAAGCCAATCCCGTGGCTCCCTAGAGATCACGCCACGGGCATACATTTATATAAATATAGCAACTAAGTAGTCACTAAGTTAGAATTATTTTACTTTAGCTTAACTGCACATAGTTCTCGGGTACCGAGCGTAACCTCTGCCCACAAATTTCTACAATTATAAACTGTTATAGTCTGTAACTTTGTTAAACATAATAAACATTAATACTGTGAATATATACTTATTCATTTCTAAGTGCAACCTCATCGTCACTCAAGCTCAACAACGAAACGTCGAAGCACGTCATTAAATAATTAAGTGTAGTACGAGAGTACTACATCGGTGACTGATTTAATTTCTTACTAGTACAACTCAACTAACCACTTACAATTATAAATTTATATGTATAATATATATATATAGTTACGGTACTGGTATAGTAAACAAAGCATTAATAACATTTGGGATACATTTAATACAATACCTATACAATATTATTGTTATTATTTGTTACAAGTAAGTTGAATAAAATAAAATATAAAATATTATGTCATATATTATTGTAGTTGATATGGGCGAGTCGTCAAAGTTAGGAACGTAAGTATCCGTTTTGTTTGTTTATTCCCTCACTATTGGTCGTGTGATAAACGCGGTGAGGAGGTGCTCGAATGCCGTGATCCTTAAGGGGAAGTTACAGTGACATTTGTTGTCTCCGTCTTACAAGTGCGTAACATAGCAAATTGTACACTCGGCAAACCGCGTTTATCTCCCGTTAGTTTAAAAATTATAGCGAATTTACCTCTTATCAAATTTAAAGCTAAGATTATTATCTAGACAATGGCATAGGCTTTTTATTATATTTTAATTTTAAAGACAGTTAATATGAGTATTTTAAGATGTACAAACAGTTTACAATTTTAAAATACACATAACTCGCTTTAAAATTAAATTATTATAAAAAGCCTATTTCATTATCTAGGTAATAATCTCACCTTTAAATTTTATAAGAGGTAAATTCGCTCTAATTTTTAAACCAAAGGGAGATAAATGTGTTTTGCTGAGCTTAAAATTTGTTATGTTACCCATTTGTAAGACAGAGAAAACAAATGTAACTGTAACTGCCCCTTAAATGAATTATTAATCATAGAAAACCATCAACAACATTTTTAAATTCGCCATAGCGTCATCAGTCCATCGTTTAAACAGCAACAATGTTTTAAATTTTAAATAAACACTCAACACAGCCTAAAATATTATTAACAGATTTTTAGTATGGCCCTCTTAAGTTGTAGCTACTATATTCATGTACTACCAAAGTGCTAAGCAGAAAATAAGTAGGTAGCAACTAGCAATTTTTGTCTGCCACAATACTCCACGAACATCGCATTGAAGCAATAATATAGTATTTTTATTATTGTTATCAGTATTGGATAGAAAATAATATGTACAATATATTATAAAATATAAATATAATATTACATCGTGATTCGTGATAAAAGATGATTAAAATGATGTTGGGGTGTGTGTAGCAGTAGCAAGGATTGAGGTTTTTGGTTGGTGAGACACTGAAAAACAAAGGGCACTAATATGCCTAGACTCCCCCCCCCCCATTTTTATTTTATCTATATGGTAAAAAATAAATGTTCAAAACCTAAAAACGAACTGAAATATTATCTAAGAAAAAATTAAAAAGTTACAACTTCCTTAAAATGATAATTTAATATAATAACAAATCCAAATGTACACATTTTTTTTCATATAAGTAGTTAATAATTCCATCGTTAAAAATGGCATTAATTAAATCATCAGCCCATGGCCCATGAGGACAAATTACAATATAAAAAAATAAATATTAAGAAACAAGTACGACATATTACCTATCACGATAGCGTGACAATGCAACGGCAAACAGATAATAAATATTGATGACTGGGGTTAATACGAACGGCGAGACGTGTCTCATAGCGTACATAGTAAGCCCCAGTGCCCCACTCACATTAGAGTTCCCTCTGTACCCCTTCCCTATATTTGGGGGACGTTGAGTCGCAACATCTATTTGATTTAGAAATA